TCTTTATGAATAGAAACCAGTTGAAAGTGATAATAGGGTTCCTGACTGGGCACGCCCCAGTAAAGGGACACTTGAACAAAATTGGCATGTACAATGGGGAACTTATGTGCCGACTATGTCTCAAGAAACCAGAAACGGCCAAACACATACTGTGTGAATGCAAATCTCTATATCGCAAAAGACAGGCACTTTTTGCACAACCCCAGGTTGATCCAACAACGTATAGAACCTATTCACCCAAGGATTTGTACAAACTTGTACAAGGTACAAAGGTGACAGAGTGGGTGCTACGAACTAACATGGGGTAAAACACAATAAGCCAATATGCTTCAGTGTTATTCGGAGACAGACAGACAAGCCCAGGAGAAAAAAAAGTGCGTCAGTAACTTCCAGCTATGATATCTTGGTGCTCACGGAAACCTGGATAAATGAATCTGTTAATAATTTAGAATTGTTCTCGGATAATTAAGTTATTAACAGATGTGACCGAAAATATAATATATTATCAAAAACTCGGGGAGGAGGTGTTAAAGCTATTAAAAAAAGTAGAATTGTTTAAAATTTAATATTGATGTTGTTGAGCACGTTATGTCTTATATTGATATTGTTTGTGTAAAGGTAAAATTAACAGAAACAGAAAACATTCCTTTGGAATATACATTCCACCTGAATTGCAACCTAATTTATATGAATCACTTTTCAAAATATTTGAAAACGTTTTATATCAAAATCCTGTCTTATTTATTGGCTATTTTGACATACTCGAATGCATAGACATTAAGAATAGTACTCGTAATCTTGCATTGTCTTTCTTGAACGCATTCCTAGATTTAACTCAATATAACTTAATATATAATGAATATAATAAATTATTAGACCTAATTTTATATAATAAACCTTGCGAGGTTTATCAATCTGTTGACCTTTTATTGCATATAGACAAACATCATCCTCCACTAGATATTAATTTGTCAACTGATAAAAAACATTGTAAAAAACAATCCAAGTAAAACGTCTTTTAATTTTAAAAGTGCTGATTTTCATTCCCTTTATAATGCACTGGTCAATGTGAATTGGGATTTTTTTATTAAATATTAATAATATTGAATTAGCCTGTACTCATTTTATTCTACCCTAAACGAGATATTTGAAGCTTTTGTTTTCGAAACTTACAGTAAACGAAGAACATATCCTCCTTGGTATTCAAAAGAGACAATTGGAGATATTAGGAAATAAATCTTTCGAAAGTTAAGACGATCTAAAAATCTGATATAGATGATTTCAAATACTTAATAAGCAAAATTAAAAAAGATATCAATAGATCGCATTAAAATTATATTAAAAATATAGAAAATAATTTAAAAAAAGATGTAAATTTCTTTTGGAATTATGTAAACTTAAATACACACTCCGCTGACTTGCCTGAAACAATGACCTATGATGACAGCAATTGTGACTCTATGCAGAATATAGTAAATAATTTTGCTTCCCTCCTTCAAAATTTATTTATCAATCCAACAAAAACATCTTTCAAATAAGCGTATCTAAACACAAATAGGATTCATTTTAATATTTTGCAAGTAGATGAAGTACTACAAGCCCTAAAAAGGCCTTTGGTCAAGGATTGTCATATATACTTTCTTATCCCTTAACAATACTTTTTAACTTATCTTTAAAATCAAATCAGTTTCCATCTATTTGGAAATCGAGCAAAATTTCTCCGGTATTCAAAAAAGGGGATAATTTTAAAATGGAAAATTATCAGCCTATTACAATTATTTCAAACTTCGCAATAGTTTTTGAAGTTATTTTGCAAAATAGGTGACAAATTTGCTTTGTATTACACAGTTCATTGCTCAACATTTGGATGATTTTTCAAAAGTTTTTGATAGTCTGAAACACTACCTTCTTCTGGATAAACTAAGATGTTTTGGCCTGAGTCTATCCCTACTTTCATACTTTTAATCATATTTAGAACAACGAAATTTCTAGATTGAATATAAAGGTGTTAAGTCGTTGGTTACAGATGTCCCATCTAAAGTACCTTAAGGATCAGTTTTGGAACCTTTGTTCTTTAATATGTTTATTAATGACATAACACAAAAATTTCAGTGTAAAACACTCCTCTATGCTGATGACGTAAAGCTTTACAGAGAAATTAAATCTGAAAAGGATGCTATTGCTTTGCAACGCGATTTAATAATAATAATAATAATAATAATACTCTCCCTAATTCACCCCCTTACGAGTGAATTTCAACCCCTGAAGTCGACTGAACGACTTGTGTAGGGGAAGGGACGGCTATTATAATTAATATTTGCCGTGGCGCTCCGGGGCGACTTAAAGATGATTGATGGTGCCATTTGACTTACAGGTGAGGAAAACCCGGAAAACCTCACCCATCATCATGGAAATTGTTTCTAACTGGCGCGTGGGTAATTTCTTGAAACTAAGTATAAATAAGTGTTTCATTCTCCGTATTTCCCGAAAAGACTATCCGTACTATTTCGACTACAAAATGAATAACTGTAAAGTGCAGAGAGTTGATATTTTTAAAGATTTAGGTGTGACCTTTGACCGATAGCTTTCGTTTAATGTTCATATTGAAAATACAATTCTTTCAGCTAATAAAATGTATGGAATGATACTTAGAACATGTAAGGGTTTCACGTTTATAGATAGCTTTATGCTCTTATTTAATGCATATGTTAGAAGTAAGCTTGAATATACCTCCTTAATTTGGCACCCAGGTTAAAAAATGTCCTTTTGGCTTCCCTCATGATATTTTACTTAATGGTCATTCTGTTATTTCTCTTCAAGATCGTAGATATATATTTTTCTTATACAAACTAATAAGTTCCAAAATATACTATTCTGAAATCTTAAATTTAATTCCACGTGAAAATTCTAGGCTCTCAGCAACATTTTACTTACCCACTCCTAAGACCAATATTTTAAATATTCACTTTATATTTTATGTGCGATAATTACAATGCGTTGCAAGATAGCACATTTTAATATTTTTAATTGTTCAATAAATGTAATAAAAAATAGTCTATCCTAAAATTATAAAAATTAGCTTTTAAATATCTATTGTATGTGTATAATCTAGTTTCTGTGTTCGTGATCACTACTTTTTTTGAACTCCCATGTTTTTTTTTTAGCATTATCTTTCTTATTACACGAGAAATAATTTTATACAGAGTCCCTACTATTTTATATTGCAATTTCTTAAAAAGATATTTTGAATCTTCCTTTTAGACCGTGAGATAGTGACCGATTTAGGTGCCCCATTTTCGCATGCAAGCCTCGAAGAGGGTTGAAAAATACATCGATGTAGAGTAGAATGAAAGAAAATTTACGAGTGGCTCTTGGGGATAACACATGGAAAATTCGATTTTCCTTCTCAGAAAAATTTTCCGACCCCAAAATGCAATTGTACATTCGGGTCATTCAAAAAAATATGTTTTTCAAACTAGGGACGACGTACGTTTTCATATATTCGATGGACCTATGTGGAAAAATCGGGCAAAAACTCGATTTTTCCTTAGAAGATTACACCCTTATTTTAACCCTTTAGCCACTTGCAACACTAAAGCCTTTGGTTTTCCGAAGCATAGTTCTATTAATTAATCATATAGTAAAAACGGCTTGCGTGGAAAAATGGGCAACAAATAACCTTTCGTTTCTGTAAGGGAAAATCAAATTTTCCATGTGTTATTCCCAGCAGCCACTCGTAAATTTTCTTTCATTTTACTTAAAATCGATGTACTTTTCAACCCTCTTCAAGGCTTGCATGCGAAAATGGGGCACCTAAACCTGTCACTATCTGACGGACTATTTAGATATCAAAGATTTCTTGCCAAATGAAAGGTCATTTTCCACGCGTTATTTTTAAAATAACCAATCCACATACTTTGATTTTCTTTTACTATACGGAGAATGGTCGCACTGCGCAGCTTTCCGAGTGTGTTTTAAAAGGAGATAGAAAACTCCGCCATTTTGATCCCTTATTACGTGTTGCCTACATCTTGGCGCAATATTTTTAATAGGTGCGTTTTATTCATCCGCTTCTGCTTCGGAATTGTCGGTTTTTTTGTTTTAATCTGACAGGTATTTTGAGCATGCCGATTCGCCTCCTTACCTCTAGTCTTCATAGTTATCACATTGTGATTAGATTTAGAACTCATACCAACTGAAGTGAATGTTTTGTGGTGGTGCTCATAACATGCTCATAACTCATAACCTTATTTAATGTTTATTTTGAATTCATTTTTACACTGGATGTATCATTTTTCACTGAAATGGAGGACTTTGAAGTGATATATGATTATAACAATATGAAATATATTGTAGTTGGTAATGAAGTGTTGCACAATGCATTAAAATCAGGCAAATACATTAATTTATAATTATGTAGTTGAGTAATTTATTTGTGTTTTATTCTAAATTTTGTACCTATGTTTTAGATGATGACTTTTTTCTAAAGTACATGTCACTTTTATGTCGCCTGTCGAAGTGCCTAAAAAGTTCATTCAGGAGATTCACTAATCGATAAGTCATCGCTAAGTTATCGTTTGATAATCGGTTGCTTCTGCTGAATGCGGCCAATATTATTTTTGGAGTCACAGTTTATTGCTAAAGAATCAGTTAGCTCACTCGGACCAGTTGAAAGTTCCAAAAGAACATCCATTCCAGGGATACAAATTCATGATACACAGAAGACTGCTGTTTTATTATAGACGGTTGTCATATATTGTATTATTCGAGATGCGCAGTATATAAACTGGACCATTGAGATCAAAAGTGCCGACGCAGAGTGAGCGATCTGATTCTTTAGCTAGAAACTGTGGCATAGGAATCAAAATGGCCGCGTCCTATGTTGGGCGTGTCATCAAAGTATGTGGTGTCGGACCTCTCTCTTGCACCGTATAGTAAAGAAAATCAAAGTATGTGAACCAATCGTTAAGCTTCGTGTACCTAAAAACAACCTCTACATAAAAAACCCATTCGAGTTTCAGTTCTTGTCTAATTTGACATACTTTTGACGACATCGTAACATGACATAAAAAAATAGATCAAAATTGAAAAGACGTATAAATATCTATAACTTTTTCTAAATTTTTGTTTAATAAAAAAAAAATGAATTGTAAATCAAATTGTCCTAAACTACCATGGATGGTAGACTTTAATAGCAATGAGGCAAAAGAAATTTTAGATAACCAATATGAAGCGGCGTTCGCACAACGTCATATGGAATATCTAAGTAAACTTAACATGAAATCAAGACCCAACAGATTTAGATGTACCCAACTTGTATGTTTGATAACCCCAAACACGCCTATTACTACCATGGTTGATCTTTTAACAGACGGCATGACAGTAGCTATGGTATGTGCCCATAAAACCGAGAAATGTAAAGAAATTATTTCAAAACTGAGAACTTTGGTTGAGGGATATAGTCGCAGAATTGGAAGGGTTTATCCTTTAGGGGTAGCATTAGAAATCAAAGGTCCAGAAATTAGAATAGGTAAGTAATTTCAATTACTTGGCACATTTGACCACTTTGTTTCATGTATTTCTTTTTCTCTTTTCTTATAAACTCAATATTTAGTTTTTCATAAAATATGTAACATTAATCTAGAAACATTTATGTGGCAATAAGTACGTAAAAAATTAGCAAATGGACTGAAATGTAAGGGAAAGAACTGTACTTATTGGTCACACTTTTCTTATTAATTCTAAATCGGCTTAATTCTTACGGTTTTCACCTAATTATTCACACCACCATTTCAGACGCTTAGCAGCCTTTTTTCGGCATTGTCGCAATCATGGTCGCTGCTTGCGCGCGGCGATCTTGCTCAACCCTGCCCTCCGGACTTTATGTATTATGAAATGAAATGACACGCTCATTTCCGGGCGGCAAATTTCAAATTGTGTTTCGCGCTAATTTTTGAAATGTTTAAAATAAATGAATTTTTTCTTGTTCAGAAAAGATTGATTTCTGAACAATTTAATTTTATTTCTAAACTTATTTAAAAGAAATTAAGTTGTGAGTAGAAATGTAAAACAAATTAGAAAATATGAGTCATTTAGATATTACAAGGTTTATTATTATGCAGTATTTTAAATTACTGCAAAATTATGGATTCAAAAAATTGTTTAATGGGCTATTGTCAAGTGACCTGACAGACCTTAGGACCAAAGTAATTATGCAACATTTGTTGTAAAAGAAGTTTTAAAAGTGCAATAAAGTGTCAAGAATACGTTGTAACTTGTCATCCTTATTGTGTAGTGCGAATAAAAGGCATTAAAATAGTTAACTATGAAAAAACACAATGTACCACGTGTTCTGAATCAGCTGATATGGACCAAAAAAGTTTGATCAAGGAAAATGAGTATTGAATAATATTATTGATATTGAAACATGACCTCTTCAATAGGCCATTTCAATATTTGTGACAGATCTAGTTCGATAATACTGAAACAGTGATCCTTATGTGTGAACTCGACACATTATTTATCGAATAGAGCAAAAATTCACGCCATTGAGAAGTGTATCCAGTTTAACATCGAGAGAAACTATCGTCCGATAGCCAAGTAGCTAAAAGCGCTGAACTTCTAAATAATCAGCTCAAAAATGGTCTGGAGATGCCTATAAAATTAAATGAGCTAGACGAGGAAAATACAGCTACTTTCACTTGGATCTTGACACGTAACTGGGTACAGGGTAACGAGATTGCAGATAGTCTCTCAAGAAAAGGGGCTTAAACACTGTTTGTGGAACCTGAGCCATTCTGCGTGTCAGCAATAACACAATATTAGCAGAGATTAAAAAAGAATGAGGCAGTAGAAGCATTGATAATTGGGACAATCTCTTGGAGCTAAGACAGGCTAAGATAACTTCTAGGTAAATATTACCAGGAAAGATCGGAAGTCTCTGTCCGCCTGAACAAAAACAGGCCACGTTTTGTAACATGACTCCTTTCTGGGCATTGCTGACTCAAAGGACACCTTACTAAACTGAAAGTAGTAGAAGATAGTGAGTCCAGACTATGTGAGGAGGAGGAAGACGAAATCTCCATTAACATTCTGATTGAATGTGTAGCACTCCAGAATCCAAGGGCACTATACCTAGGAGTATATCAAATAGAAGAGGGAGATTTACTTAACTTGAAGCCACTCCAAATCATACACTTCTATGGGAAGATAGGATTGGATGATGGGCATTAAGACATTTTCTTGCTGCTTTAGCGACAGAAGGTGGCACAATAAATCTTTTAGATCACACTGTATTAACACCCCATTCCCAACAAAACATATTGTCACAATTTCCTAAAGCAATAAATAATAATTACAACTAAGTTTTTTAAATTAAATCCAAAGAAATTATTTTATTTTCAATTCAATTTTTATTCAGTAGTTATAATAATTTAAAAACTATTTAAAAATCCTGCTGACTCGCCAATTTACTTATAAAAATGTAAACTAATTAATATTTCTTAATTTTAAGACACAAGAAATTAATTTTAAATTAATTTCAAATTTATTTTTAACAACTTCTCCATAACCCCTCGTAACACAACTTAAACGACGACCACTGGTCGCTTCCCACTGGTCGCTTCGCTTCTCGATTTTACAAAGTATGGTTTGCGCGCATCAGTTTTTCTACATTCACGCTAGTGAACTATAAAACACCCGTGCTGTCGCCTAGGTCTTTCTTCTTGGTTTCAACGTGATAGAAAATGGCCGATCCTATTCGGTTTTCCAACGAAATCCAGCAAAATGTTAAAATATAAGGTGAAAGAACATTACCTGACATTTATCCCAACGTTAACACACAATAAATACAAAAAATACAAGATAATTATGCAGAACTACTCAAATTTATCGGCACAAACTATCATGTTGAAACCAAAAAGAAAAACCTAGGCGACAGCAGCGGTGTTTTATAGTTCACTAGCGTGAATGTAGAAAAACTGATGCGCGCAAACCGTACTTTGTAAAAATCTAGAAGCGAAGCGAGCAGTCGTCGTCGTTCAAGTTGTGTTACGAGGGGTTATGGAGAAGTTGTTTTTTAAAAATGAATTTGAAATTAATTTCACGTAACACAGGTCATCAACCACATTGATCTAGTCGGCTCTATTTTCAAACATGTAAAAAACTAGGAATTTTCATCAGTCAGTGGGTAAAGACACAACCAAGAAGGTGGACTAAAATATTCCCCAAAACGACAACGTTTTTGTTGTGTTTTTGTAAGATTGTGACGTGTCCTGAGCCTATAGGATGATGTAGTAAGTATACCAAAACATTTTTAAAATATTGTAAAATTAGTGGTTGATTTTCAATAAATTATACATTTTTTATATTTTGTGTTATTTCTTCAAAGACGAATCCAGTACAAAAATTAAGTTCGTGATAATATCGAATATACATTACTTATGAATAGCAGTCTGTCAAACAAAGATAGGCGTCTAGTTACGAGACGTATCGAAAGATGAGAATCCCACTGCTGCATCGCGTAAAACACGGATTTATTTAAACAACGATCAGAAACCAGGATTCTGAGCAGTAGATAATTTGGCTGTTAAAATCACGGTTCATAGACTGACATGGTGGCCTCATCCCGGTTGCTAAAGACGGAGTGACGTCACGAAATGAAAACGTCAGTAGACAGAAAATATTCTACTTGGGTTCGTACATTAGTTTTTAAAAATATCTAATATTTTATTGTTTTTAATGGTATTTTATTTTTAATTATAAACTATGGTCTAGTTTTATAGCTTTAATTATATGGGCAGTTTGATTTTTTGCGCGATTAGCTACAAAACAGCAAGGAAAAATTATTTAATGATTTCCATAACATTTCAAATGAATTAATTTTTATTTTAATTCATAAGAAAATATTGTTGTGTGATTGGTTTATTTTAAACTTTTTCTGGCCATTCAAGGCATGAAATCAGTTTGTCTTTGAAATATTTCATTGTCACTCGACACATGACAAGGAGCCGAATTTTGTTAAAAAACTGTTCTTTTTTGGGGACTGTTTTTCTGATAAAGGTAAAGGATGTATTGTGCTGGTCGAAGACATGATATACTCTCAAGAATACATAGACAGATAAGAACAAAAAATTAAGCTTTGTTCTGTATATCAAACGCTATATCAATAAGTTAAAGATAGATCACAGATATGACGTCTTTCAGGGATGTAAAACCGTAGGTACCATAGATAATGTGCGTGTTAAATATCTTCAGCTCTAATGGTTGATTCTCGACTTATTAGGCATTCCAAACAAAATGGCTACCCGTAGGAACTGACAGGCACATACTAGGGTAAAATATGACAACACTGTGGACCTGCTGATTTGACAGGATCACTCATATAGATAGTTATATGTACTGATCATCCATGTTTTTAAAAATAAACATAAACATTTGCCAGGCAATATGGCCGCTCGCAAACGACCCGCTTTAAGCAATCTATGTAACTATGTATGTATCATTGACCCTGTCAATGACAACAGGTCCACAGGGTTGCCATATCTAAACTGTCAGTTCCCACTGGCAGCATTTTGACAGGTCGTTGGAATGCCTAATAGTAGTTTTGACCGTCGATGTTCTCAGGTACAAATATACCAAATTTGAATAAAAAGTTACAGAAACACTACTAAGAGGTTCGGCTATAAACTTTACCATTATTTAGATAGAACGGTTAGATCAGTATTATAGATTGCTGTATATAATATGATTGCAGCATCCTATTGTCTTTACCATTGCATATTTTTATGTACTTGTAAAAGATTACAATAGCTCGCGTTAATTACTTTTGAAATTTTTGAGATATAGGCTTTGGGTGATAATTCTTCTCAGCTTAAAATTAATCGAAATCTTTTACTTTCAACTCATAAACATTTAACAGATACTGTTATTTATATTTTCGAATTTTTAGGTGCTCTAAAAGGGTCCTCTAAAAAAATATTCCTGGAAAAGGGTAAAGTTACCAAACTAACAACTCAAACATCTTATGAAGAATTCGTTTGTGCTGATATGATTTATGTAGACTATGAAAAACTTCCTGAGGTAGTCCAACCAGGAGATAAGGTTGTGTTAGATAACGGATCGGTCACCTTGACAGCTTTGGAATGCGTAGAGAGTATTATTAGGTATTATAAAACAATAGCTATTTGTGTTTTAAGAATGAAAAGTAATACTTTGCCGCTTAAGACGGTAAGTTGCATGCGCGACGCGTAACGGAGAACTGACAGTATGTCGAAAGTGGCAACGAACTTTGCACTCAAAATGTACACATTTTTCGACAATGACATAACTTTAAGAAATAGATATACAAACTGAAAATATCAAATTAATTTAATTGCAACTATCTACTTCAAAAGTCTAAAAATTGAGTATTGTGTATACTATATTCCCAAGTAACATTTTTAAGAGAATAAAGTTTCAGATATGTTTTATTAGGATTTTGTAAAAGCATAAAATTTGATAATTATTTTATTACAGTTATTTTTTTGCTAATAGGACTGCAGCAGGATAAATTGATCTTATTACTTGGTTTTATAGATTCCTTTAAATCTGTTTAAGAAAACTAGTTTATCCTAAAGTAAACGATGCTTTATCGCTGTCCTATAAGGGTTAATTAATAAGTAATTTTAGAACTATTTAGTTTGAAGATACTCCTAAGTTGTGTTTAGTGTTAAAGAGGCATACTTTTTAGCAGTTTTCTTAAGTAGGTTTTAAAACTTAGTTTTAAAAAGTGTTTTAGAATTATACTTTAAATTAAATTGATCGCAGAACCTTTTAGGTACATTTTCTACAATTTTACAACATAACTCTTATAATTTATTTATTCTAGTAAACGATAGGGCTTTTTTAAAACTACATAGTTTTAATAAGAACGACCTCAGCGACGAAGTTGTTGGTGCCATAACAGTTAACGTCTTTAAAAATAAGTTAGACGCGTGTTTAATTAACATTTTTATTCAATTTTTAGTGTTATTTTTGTTTCAGTGTGTTTACTTTGTTAGAATTTTTCTATTTTGTTTTTAGGCTATCATAGGACTTGTGTCCTCAGCCTTTATCAATGTATAATAATAATAATAACTAAAGTTTGTTTTAGAGCATAACCTAGCTTTTCAACCCAATCACATTATGTTGACGTTGAAAGATAAATTGTTCAAAATAAAGAAAAGTGGTAATTTCCATAGAGAATGAAAAAAAAATGTATATGTTTCTCCTTCTCCTCAGTGTTTAATAAATTCATTGTGTGCCATTGTTTAACAAATACCAAAGAAACATTCCGAGGCTCCTAATATTCTAGAATTGATCAGTGAAAGAGAAAAGTGGTTAATATATTATTACTTATTATTATATTTTGTATGACTTGTTCGTAAATAAGAAGCTCGAGAGTGAGGTTATGTTATGCCCATCTGATTGAACTTATGAATGTTTTATTGAGGTTTTCGTTTTTACTATTGTTTTATAAAACGCTTTAGAAAGTGTAGCAAGAGCTTTTGAAAACTGGAAAGTCCTAAAACGTATATTTTTTTTGCTTTATTAGTTTTATAAGCTAATGTCCCTTTTTAGGTACAGATAGAACACAATAAGGAGATCCTCCATTTTAAATATGGCAGTGGCTGTTTAATCACATATCATGTGAAATACTACCTGTCTACCAGACCTGTACCTAAAGGATATTCAAATAAATTATGGTCAAAGTTCAAATAATTTTAAAATCTTTCGATTTTAGTAATAACGTATTTTGTGTACCAAAGTCAGTGTGACAGTGACAGTAGTGTTTCAATGACAACAGTGTGCCAATGACAGTAGATTTATTATTTATGATTGTGTTTACTGCATTTAACCACATAATGTCAAGTTCGTCAAATATATCTACAGCTAATTCCTTTTAGGGTACATAAATGTAATTTATATTGGAATATACTATGACATAATGTTATACAACTCTTGCCTCGCCTAAAGTAATTTATGATTAAACACAAAGTTTGTTTCTGATAGTCCAGTAGGTAGTATGCACAATTGAAAATGGTTTTCTGACGATGACAAGTATCCACGCAAAGACAAATCTACAATAGGATTTATATTGGCGGTTAAATAGTCACTTCCGTGATATAATTTGAAAAATACAAAATGTGATATTTTATATGAAAAACATATCGAAGACAAATGTAATCATTTTATAGTGCTATATAAACGATATTAACAATGTTATTTTCTATTAAATAACTTTCGTTAAATAGATTAGAATCCGTATAATAATTCTTTTTACGTATATTTCATATATTGTAAGGCCCATCTTGCCCACTTTTAACAGTACTTTAGTACTTTTTTAAAAATTGAAGAAATAACAAGTGTAACTAAACAAATTAAACATACACTGTGTAATAATTAATTTCAAATATGGCAGTCTTCCCAACATGTTTGCAAAATCATTCTGTCAGAGAGTATGATAAAACAGAATAAAGCTAAAACAGTTTTAAATTTAATTCTTTTAAAACTGATTAGTTTTGTAAAGTTTTTATGCCTATCCCAGTTATTATCATATTCTCAAAAAGATTTAAAAACGGTTTAATAAAATTCTTAATATACTCTTACGACTTTGACTTAAGTTAATTAGTTTTAAGATATTGTTTTAAAAATACTCCTAAGAACCGTTATAGGATTCTCCCTTTTACTTTTAAAGCAGATTTATAGCAGCCCTAAGGCTATCTCGCGGATTCAAAAGTCTTATCATTGTCTTAAAAAAGGGTTTTATGGTTACCTTGTATACTTTGATAAATCTAATAATGTTACTTGGGTTAACTATCTCCTGAATCTCTCTAGTGGATATTGTTTAAAAATGTGGTTTAATTTCTCTAAGAACCAATAATTATATTGTGAAAATATGATAGACATTAATTTTTATTCACTAGGCGAGCAAAAATGCCGTCAATTTTGTCGCACGAAGAGCGACAAAGGTGTCACTTAATGTCAGTTCGCGTAAAATGTCAACTTTATGATTGGATTTCAAAGCGCAAAATCCTACTTTGGATAATAATCGTAGAAAAAATATGTTTTTCCGGTTACTTTGTACAACCTATTGAAGCACCTCTATAAATGTTTAGAGGATAAACTAAATATATACATTTCCCACATACATCCACCTCGAAACATTTTTCTATAGATATTCATTGAAAACGAAAATACTGAAAAATTTAAATTTAAAACTTTTCCTCCAATTTTTCCATTACGGTCCATTTTAGAAAAATCATGTATGAACAAAAATTATAGAGATCGATATCGCAAACAACTTTTAGTTGACAATTTTCTAAAAAATTCGATTTTTGCACATTTTGTCACATTTCTCGAATACGGACCATTTCAGGAAAATTTGACATAAAACAAAAATTATAGATAATAATATTAGAATTAACTTTTATTTGAACAATTTTCTTCTCCAAACATAAATAACAGATATATTCCATAAAATATAAAAACGGTTTCCCATAAAGTACCCCCCCCCCCCCCAGATGTTCTGACTTTGTCCAAAATCCAATCATCACGTAAGGCCGTTTTTGAGTTTTCTTCAAAATTCGAAATTTACACATTTTCTCAAATATCTCGAATACAGTTTATTTTAGAAAAATTATGTGAGGAATAAAAATTGTAGAGAATTATATTACAAACAACTTTTATTTGAACAATTTTTACAAAAAATAATTTTTTTTACATTTTGTCAAATTTTCTTCTCCAAACGTAAATAACAGATATTCCATAAAATATAAAAATGACCACTTATAAAGTACCCCCCCCCCAGATGTTCAGACTCTGTTCAAAATTTGGTGTATTTATTGGTATCGGTTCATGAGTTATGGTGGATACAGACACACAGACACACACACAGACATCATCCCGAAAACCGAAAATAGTCAAAACGGATTTAGGGGACCCCAAAACGTAAAAATCCGTCAAAAACTGGAGGTCGAAAAAAATCATGATTCCTCTACTTTCCTTAGAAATGAAAAGACTGATGAACTCGCCAAAGAGGGATCAGATCTACCATTTACAGGACCCGAACCTGTATTTGGGATCAGCAAAACCTCTGCTAGACAGGCAGTGAACAGGTGGATAACCATAAAACACCAAATTCACTGGCAACAGATAAGAGGGCACAGAATCAGTAAGCTCATGCTAAGGGGACCAAACCCACGCATGGCTACTGAGGCACTAAACTCGCAAGACCCCAAATATCCACCATTGTGGAATTATTAACGGGGCACTGCTTGCTAAAACACCTTCATGTAATGGAATTACACAATGATCCCACTACGTGTAGACTGCATGGAAGAGGAAGAAACCTCATACCATGTCATCTTCGAATGCGAAGCTCTTAATGGGCGACGTTTCATCCTTTTTCGGCCTAGAACCGGAAAGAACGTCCCAGGAACACTTTGTAGGGAACCTATTAAAACTAACCAAAGACACAAGACTATTCCAAAGATAGTACCTGAATACGGGGAAAGCAGGGAATACAATAGACCCAAGAGGCCGCAGTCTTCTGTGCCAAACCTAATCCTACCTGATTACAACCGATAAAGATAAAGATAAAGATAAAGATACTTTCCTTATCTGTATACAGATAGGAAAGTAAAAATCTTAAATTTGAATCAAACTATATGAAATAATGGGCCATGTTCACATGTGAGATATGCTGTTTTATAAATTATATTGTAATAGTTAGTCGCTATACAAGTTATTCTAAATAGTCAGTTCGTTAAAAAAGCCAAAAGTTTTTAAATTAAGCCCAATTGAAATTTAAAATTTGAAATTATACGTCATCGGGAATAGACCAATCATCTTGTGTCGAAGTTTTTTTTGTTATACAAAACCAAGCCAACGAACAAACCGACACACAGAATGTCGAAGTGAACGCACATCTAAGTGACATTAAAATTGACAGCACCTAACCTTAGTTTTTTGTTTTGGTCAGGGCTGGTATCCAGCCCTGGTTTTGGTTTAATTTTATTATTAATATGAATCAGCTGGATTTATAAAAGTTGAATCAAGTGTTTTACCCATTGTAAACGAAAATATGATTACCGAGATGATTACTGCATTTTTTAACAATACTCAGTTTACAAAAGTTAGAAAGGTAAGACTTTGTTTTAATAGTAGGTAGTTACAGTTTATATGGAGCAAGTAAAACGTATTTATCTCAGGTTTTATTTTTAGATCTGCCAAGCAAGAATATGGGGATAATTTCTTTTTCCATAAGAGACAAGGAGACAAATTACACCTAAACATAAAGTACGGCAAAAACCTTCTGATGTTGTTGTTGTAATTAACAAAAATGAAAATTTTAGTGCACAATATGCTGCATGTCAAGGTTTGTAATATTTATTATGCTTTTTTGTTTTTATATTACATATAATAAACAGTGTATAAGGCCATTTATTACTATAAATATTTTTTTTTTCTAATTTTGACATATAGACATTTTTTGTAATCGCAGCAAGTGTTAAAATAATCTAGAAACAGATTTTGTTAGTGAACCTAGTAATAATTATGATACCAAAGAATAGGCTATTTTTATACCCTTTTCAAAAATTTTATGCTCCTCGTTTTTTGCAAAACTTAAAATGCTCTATAGCTTCGAACGAAGTCAGCAAAGCACCTCTGTTTTATAAAGTTTTTTCTGTAAAAACAGCAACTTGAAATATTATATTTTTAAAAATACATGGTGCTTGCTAACCTTCGAAAGAAGCCAGCAGAGCAATTCGGTTTTTTTAAAGCTTTTTTCAAAAACCACATCCCATTTTTAGACTCTTGAAATATTGTAAAACTTTACTAAAAAAATTGCTATTTTTAAATAATACAGGGTGCTTTGTTGGAACAAAGTCAGCAGGACACTTCAGTTTTTTAATTTGTTTTTTTTATATATATATATATAAAAACAACTACTTATGACACATGTTTAGGCTGTTTTAAAATCCTAAAAATGTGGTAAGTACATTTGTTTTTAGAAGTCAGCAAGGAATTGCGAATCTTTTTTAAAATGCCAAATTTCGAATATTTTATAATATTGTAGGAGCCAAAAAACGTGGTGTGGTTTAAAAAAAAACTGGGGTGCTCTGCTGGATTCGTTTGAAGCTAACAAAGCATCCCGTAATTTTTTATTTTATAAAACTCAATAGCCTAAAATGAGACATAGCTGTTTAAACAAAAAATTGTATTTTTAAAAATAGCAGTTTTTTTTGAAAAGCTCTATAATATTTCAAAAATGTGAAAATGTGGTGAGGTTGTTTTTTTTTTAAGTTTTGAAAATCCGAGGTTCTTTACTGGATTCGTTCAGAGCTAGTAAAGCTCTACTCGTCTTGTTACATAAAATAAAGGCATTTTGTAGCTGGTTATATAGTTATTTTGTAACTGATCTAACCCTTTTATTTTTTTCAGTTGGTTGTAAATATGTGGCTTCATAGAAGAAGTGAGGAACCATCTGTAACATCTACTCAGTGTTATTGGAAAGGCTCTAATTTATCAAAATGCGTAAATATTGATGTACACTTGGCTAGATTGTTAAAGAAACCTCTTCATCCACTACAGGAAAATATATCAGTACTTTTATATTCTTAGGATTTGTATATATTTTTTATTTGTAAATAAATTGTTTTTTTACTTCATTTTTCTCATTTTTTATTAAAAGGTTAATAAATAAAATTTTCACAGATTTTTATATTTTTGTTTGTAAACAATAATTGAAGTTTTTATTAAAAATCACCAATGTTAATAATAATAACTTAAGTCAATATTATTCTTTCTCCTTTTTTAAAGCTAGTATCAATAAAGATATTACCTATGATCAATTTTTAAATTTTGTGATATATTTGGTTCGACAGAAAAAAAATTATAACCCTTTGACATTGGTTGTTTTTACTTAGATTTTCATAACAAATAAACGGAACTGCAAACATGTTTTACTATCGTAATAATGAATAGCAACATTAAATTTTTTTTTTCACATTTATCACTGTTGTCATTTTCATAAAGGATTGGTATGAAGGCACACTTTCTGGTTTTTTGAAAAAGGTGGCAAGAATTGTGATATTTTTAAATTTATCACCAGTGATACCACATGTAGTTACCCGATTTATTGGAATATATAGACTTTGCTACCTCATTCAACTGAACTTGGTTGTTTTTAATATTTATCACTGTGACATAGGCGTTTTTGTCAAATTGTTTCATTTTAAACTGCTGTAAATAGGTGCCTTTGTTTTGGTAGTTTTAGTCCCAAAAAAATCTATGCATATACAGGTACTCATTCCTCTTTGATTTGTTCGAAAAGTTAAAATTTTATAAAAAATTACATTGGCTGTTTAAAAACTCATTATAATCCCTGAAATGTGATAATTAGGTAAATTAAATTAAAAAAACAAACAAAAAAAATTTATTAAATTAATATTTACTCTTACAAAATAGGTTCTTGTAAGTTAACAAGCAATTATGCAGATATTACTAAGTAAATGTACTTGCTTAAAATTCACACACGAATGTGGTTTTAACATGTTAAATTAAATTAACTAACTCTTTCCACATGTATTCTTAGAGATGCTATTCTTTTCTCGATTCTTTTACTTAATTGTACATCTTCTGGAGAACTTTTTTCATTCTGTGATACACTAGGTGTGGCTTTACTAAAGTGCATCCCATGTTTTCAAGTAGCTGAATATTCTGAAACCCCTATCTGCCATTATATGGGATCCAGGAACCAGTTTGTTTAAATACCCACATTTTTCTATTATTTCTTTATCACTAGTTCTTCCACAAAATGAAGAATAAATTCGGTATCTTCAAAACTTTCAGGAGATTCTGCATTTTCTTCCAGAAGGGTTTTTAGGTTATTCACCTAAGAATTTATAGTAGCCTAATTTTCAATTTCCTGAAGGGGACAATTAGCAGAAATTGCTGCTATATCTTGATAATCCGGTGTATTTTTATTAAAAAGTTTACGAGAAACATCGCTAGTAGAAGGTTGATTTTCTTCTTTCCAAATTTCTAGGAACACTAATAAATATTTTTGAAAATGAATGTGAATCATTATCACATTCTGGAACAAAACACTTTTTCGTAGTCATAATATTTATAAAACGTACAAAATTAAACACTCAAATTCCAAATAAATTCTTGATCGAGACACTATGATGACAGATGCCATACACAGTGCTGCCATACACAGTGCTGCCATTTTGCCATTTTCTGAATTATTAAGTGACTTTGAAAACAATGAAACGTTAAATATGGTAAAAGTTTAAACAGAAATAATACTTTCAAAACACATTTGATATTATATATTTAAAAGATATTTGTTTAACGATGTTTTAGAAGTCTAAAAGTAAGAAGGAGTACACAAACGAACGTACATCACTTCTCGTAAACCTTCTAGCCGGCAACGTTGTGCGCTAGCTCCTATTGGTCTATTCCCGGTGACGTCATAAATTTTTAAAAAATTCATAACTCCGGCAAATGAATAGATAAAAAAAAAATAAAAAAAATGTAGTTTTATTTTTAACTCTACTATTCATAAAAAAAATTTCAAAATTTTTGAACATGCCCCATTACAAGCATAAAAACTAAAACCGTAAATGTGCAAGTGTAGACGCGGGTTCGTATCTGGGCGGGAAACTAATTAATTTTTTTTTCATGTTTATTTTATTTTATAAATTAGTAAAAGTCATAAATTATTTTATGATTAGTTATTTTAAAATTATTTTTTAAATTTGTAGATTTTCGTTAGCAGTCGTAGAAAAAAAAATACTGTACAACTCGAGTGAATTGTCCGTATCCACTCTTGTTGCACAAACTACTATTACGTTACATACATTTTCAATTTTGTAATTTTATTTTATTATTTATAAAAAACAAAAATATCTTTAAGAGTTTAAGAGCAATTTAAAGTTTTTCATTGATAACCCTGTTTAGCATGACCAAGTTAGGTGATGTTTATGTGAAATTCAGGACAGGTAGTGACAAATATATGCTTTTCATTTTGTGTTGTTTATTTTCAATATTTGCTATAAAAAAGTCAAAAGATTGTTTATTTGTGTCATGTTGTGTTGATATTTTAGGAGTAATTTTCATTTGGTGTTATCGGCATTAACTACTAACATTATTATCTTCATGTTCTGTGTAGGCTTTGTTACCGTTTCCCAGCACTAGAATTAATATTTAATCACCGGCGTGATTCGAACCTGGGCCTCTATGACCTCAAAGTAACCACTGAGCCAACCCACCCCTTTTAGTTATTATAAATGAATTTGAAAGTTTTCTATTTTGCCTATTCTCAAACATATTTTGAAAAACATTATTTGCGTGCTAAATTAAGTACTTTATATTTTTTAATACTTTTTAAAAATAACTAAAATTGGTTTCATCTATGCCATATTTCAAAGTGATTTGATGCTCGTATTTCTATTTTGCTGGGTTTTGCATCTGGATAATCTGTGTTACAAGTTGTACCCCCCTTGTTAACTCGTTCAGTTTAAAGAGTAGAGAAAAATACAATGATTTTTAAACTAATCGGAGTATTAAACGTTATTAAAGTTTCGGTATTCCTATAAACCCCCTTCAGGTGACAGCCATTTCTTCAACTTTTATAAATATCTGGAAGGATCGTATGACACCTCATTGAAAATGCAATTTTATGGTAAACTCGGCAGTATGATTTCTCATTGGAAAACTTTTCATTTTTGCGACCTCCAGCAGGATAGAAACTGTTACATTTTGAAAAGTGTGACACTTGATTTGAAACCTAATTTTTTACCACATAACATCATCCAAAATTACTTCTGCACTTTTTTTATTTTAAGTTCATTTTTTATACACTACATAAGAAGTGAATTGAATTAGTAATAAAATTAGCTTCAAAACAAAGTGTCACTAAAACTGAAATGAAATCATGTTGATTTTTAAAGGTGTATAGTCGAAAAGGCTGGAATGTTGGTAAGCCGTGCTTCAGTTACAGTTCCGAATGCTATCGTAGACGTTCCAAAATTATCAGCTACTGATAGAGAACTCATGAAGATGGCAGTAACGGAAGCTGTTGATTATCTCTTTGTATCCGGTATCCAGAATAAGCAGTCAATTCTAGATGTGAAAGATCTTTTGGGATTGAGCGGCGACAGTATTTATGTTATAGCAAAAATAGACAATTACTCAGCTGTTGAAAATATAGACGAAATTATTAAATGTTCTGATGGAATTTTCGTTGATTGTGAGAGGATGTTGACAGAAATGCCCAAAGAGAAAATATTTTTGGTACAGAAATCAATATCTGCCAAATGTAACTTAGCTGGTAAGTACATTTACCAATAAATAATACCTTTAAACAAAGAAGGGAATTAATTTGACACCTTATGGTACCTGCCATTAAAACTAGTCTGGACTAACCAATCATTTTGTTCTAAAACATTCTAACGCTAAACCATCAATCTTCATTGGATTGTTCTAATCACTATGCAAGGTATCCGGGAAAATGTAAGAGGTCTCTCGGATTCAGATAGGACATTAAAAAATAAGATGACAAGTGTAGCAATCGATCGAAAACCAGTCGATCGTTATTGATGCGATGTGTCGTTGAATCACCCTGAACACCGTCGGTACAGCTGGTAGTGAGTCACAACACAGGAGGCCTGGCATTTCTTTATTTCTTATCGGACTATTTCTTTTGGAGAGAAATATTTAGTATATTGAGTCAATATTAGTTTAGCTTTTGAATAAATCGTTTGGCAAATAATACTTCGTATTAATTTTATTTATTAATTTAAACAGTTTCAATACAAGATTCCGTACATTTTTTCTTAGCGGCCTCCAAAAGGACGCCACTGAAAATCAAATATTCTTGAATAATTTTCAAACTACGTAATATAATTTAATGAAAATTTAATATGATAAGCAGTAGTAAGGACCTCTTAAAATACTGCCATTAGAACATAATTAGCTTGTTTAGTTTACCAGGGGCGGACTAGGTTATACATTTTAATGCTTACATTTTTACCACCCTGTATGATAAGGAATTAAAAAAATAATTTTCTATACATTGAACATTAAGCTAAAGAAAAGGTACTCTTCTTCATTGTCGATAAAATGAACCGTTTTCGAGAGAAAAAAAAATAAAAGAATTAATTTTTTATTTTTATTAAAAAATTAAACTCCCAGAATTAACTAATTTCAAATTGGTAAATTCTAAAATGCAACTTGGAGTATTATGTCTTCATCCTGAACTCACTAAAGCTTGTAACGCTAATTAGAAATAATTAATTAAAAACTTTATAAGTGGGTTCAACATGTGCTCCGTGAACTCTGATACACTCTCAAGTCCGACGAATAGAGAACTGCTGTACTCGCCACAACAACCGAGCATTATTCCTTTTCACATTACAATGAAATGTGATTCTCTGTAAAAATTCCTCCCTAGTATCAACCGGAGAGGAATATACCAAGGTTTTGAGATGACCCCACAGGTAAAAATCCATTGACGTTAGGTCGGGAAACCGTAGAGGCCAGGCAATTAGATCTCTTCTGCCTATCCAACGGTTTCAAAAGACGTTATTCAAGTGGTCCCGTACAGCGACGCTAAAGTGAGGTGGGACTCTATCATGCATAACATACATGATTCGGCGGGTTTTAAGTAGCAAATGCTCTATTGAATCCAGAAAAGCTTTCTGAAGGTAATAAAGTTCACCATTCTATCGTGGCAGCAATACGCATGGTCCAATCAAAAAATTGCCGATTATTGCTGCCCAAACATTAATTAATTGAAACTGATATTGATAATGATCAACAACAGTGGCATAAGGGTTTTCATCAGCCCATACATGCAAGTTATGTAAATTTATAATACCATTTTTGGTAAACCCTGCTTCATCGGTAAAAAGAATCGTGCTAATGAAGTTTCCGTTTGTTCGTTGCTGATCTAACAGCAAGTTTGCGAACTGCATTCTTCGAGGAAAATCTTCAGGAAGTATTTGATGCACTTTTTGCAGATGATAAGGGTATAACAACTGTCCTTTAAGTACTCCAGCAATTGTCGTTTTTGATACATGAAGCTGCGCGGCTAATCTTCGAGTGCTTATTGAAGGAATATCAGCTACAGTATCCATAATATTTTCCTCCAATTGCACCGTACGTACTATTCTTGTTACACCAGCATCAGTACTTGTTTTCCCAAAACTTCCTAAAACTTATTAAACAAAGTCAATAATTAACTGGGAATAGCCCACCAGTCTCTCTTACACGTTGCTCAAGTGGCTGAAATGTTTTCTCATTTGGAATATTGCGATTAGGATATCTTTCTTCATGCAACCTTTTTGCTTCATAAGCATTGCAAGATGCAAGACCGTACATAAGATGCATATCTGCATACTCACTAAATATGTATCCCATTATCGAATTAAATTTACCAAAATATTCAAAATTCAATAAATTAATATGGGAGTACTAAAAGATCAACGTATCAAGAGGATTTAAAATGCACACGTCAATGCAAGTATTCATTTATTTGTTCCGTAGGTACCATAGTAACGTTTGTAAAAACAGTGCGTTTTTTAATACTGATAACAGTTCTATTTCAATGATTTTCGTATCACACTTTGCTGCAGACAAAAAAAATTAAAAATCATGGTTTCTTTTTAATAAAAATAAAACATTAATTATTTTTTTTTTCACTAGAAAACGGCTTATTTTATTGACAATGAAGACGAGTACCTTTTCTTTAGCTTAATGTTCAAGGTATCGAAATTAATTTTTTTTAACTCCTTATCATACAGAATGTTAAAAATGTAAGCATTAAAATATACAACCTAGTCCGCCCCTGGTAAACTAAAAAAGGTAATTGTGTTTTAAGGGTAGTATTTTAAGAGGTTTTTTACCACTGTTTATCATGTTAAGATTTAATTAAATTGTATTACGTAGTTTAAAAGTTATGTAAAAAAATTGATTTCCAGTGGCGTCCTTTTGGAGGCCGTATCTCCGTAGGGAGGGCCACTAGGAAAAAAATTTCTATGAATCCGAGAGACCTCCTACATTTTCCCGGACACCTTGTATACAAGTCACTCGCGCATTGTGCTCTGCTTACACACATAGGTACACAACACACTACACGAGATCCTGATTTTACAGCAGGTGAAGAGCTACTGCGTTGGTATGTAGGTGAAGGGTGAAGTCTCTTTATGCAGGAACATGTTTTAGTTTGTAAGCTGCGTTAAACACGTATGTCAGCATTGTTTTCCTTTTCTAGGCAATTGTTTTAAGATTTCACCTGTAATTATATTGAAGCCTGGGGTTTTATTAGGATTAAGGTTAGTTTTATTCTCTTCTGCTACTTATTTCGATGTAACAAGAATGCTGTTTATGGATTTTTTATTTTCTATTACAGGCAAACTATTTTCTCCCTGCATTTGATTGGGTGTAAAAATGTCTGACAAATATTCAGCAAACAAGACTGCTTTCTGTTTATTGTCCCTGGCCTATACTTTGTTATCTCTTCTAAAGGTAGTGATGAAGTTAATAGGTCTGTTTTTCTTTCTAGTGGCTTTCCACAGACAGTAATCTATTTTTATCTAGTGAGAGGTTATGTAGGTATAAGTTTGTTGTTTTTTTATTGAGAATATGAGTTTCTCTTCTCAGTTTATGAGTTTTATTGTTTAAAATTGCCTATTAGATGGATTTTTAGGTTATTGTCATCTTCCTGTTTTTTTCTTTTACAAGTTCTCTAATCTTAGCTGCCCAATGAGCACACACTCGTTTTTTAAACGTAAATATAACGTTGTACTGTATAAAAAGACGGTATTGGTTGAAAATTCGACGTTGAAATTTTAGTTGAAAAATTATACGTATGAAAAATAATATTTTCTAACGTATTTTTCTAGCTATTTTTAACCGATTGTTGAAAATTTGATAGAATTATTACGTTTTTTTATAATGTGAAGGGTGTCAAAAATATGAAAACAACCAGACCATTCGTAATTATAAATTCGAAATATTAGGTATTCATAATACAGTGAAGAATCTGAAAAATCGTACTCTTTACTACAAGCAAGCATCAGTTAGGTATGTTACGCATCCTGTAAATTCATGAAGAAGAGGAACCTCGAACTAGCTAGAGATCTTACCTTTTCTTAAATTTTACTTTTTTTAAAGTTATAGCGGAAGTTATAGCAACTACTGTAAAACTATTATTAGGTTGTATACGGGGTGACAATTTAGAAACTTTCACCAGCTATAGAGGGTGTCCCGAAATTAGACGGTCATATTTTAACAACGTATTCTACATTCTAAAATAGGAGTAAAAGTTCTTATAAACATAGATCAGCAAACGTGTCTTTTCCGAGATACAGGGTGTTAAAAGTGAAGTCCTGATGACACACTTTTGTAAATATATTCTAAACGTTTGAAGATAACTAACTGAAGTTTGGTACAATGCTTACCTTTTTACGCTCTATTTAATGGACTAAACTTCAGTTTTTGATCGTCTTTATAGGTGGGCAAATTAAGAGGGGCTTAGGGTAAAATTTCCCCAAGTTTTTTTTATTAACAGTTTTTAACATTTTTGACTATAAAATTTGGAAAACCAATGTTTTCTTTATAATAAAGTAATTTTTGTTGCATCTCGCTAGGACGCACCATTTTCAAGAGAAAAGCATTTGAAAGTTTCATGTTATCTTATTTGAAATTGTAAATAATAATAAGTAGGCTGGTGGAATTAGAAATGTTACTTTTTTAACTTTGGAAAACCGGTGACTAAAGAAATTTTAGAAAATATTTACAAAAATGTGCCATCATGACTTCACTTGTAACACCCTGTATCTCGAAAACGAAACGTTTTCGGACCTATATTTATATGAACTTTTACTTATATTTAGGATGTAGATTACGCTGTTAAAATATGACCGTCTAATTTCAGGATACCCTGTATATCTAATAAACTAAAGATTATATCAGAAAATGCTTAAAATCATTTCTAGGATACGAAAGGGAAACTTAAATGACAAACTACAGAACTTGCATTGAGCCCCTATGCGACATTTACCTCAATAAAAAGTCTAAAGTAGCATAATTATATATACCTTTTAAATAAATAAGTTAATTAGTTTCAATAAAAGTTACAGCATTTTATCATAATTCTTGCATGACATTTAGTGTTACCTACTTGGGAAGATTTATTTTTATTTAATTAAAGTAATTTTACAGGTAAACCAGTAATAGTAACAGCATCGATATCAGACCCAAGGTGCCTTTCTAAAGCTGAAATTTCCGATCTAAGCAATGTAATCATGGAAGGTTGTGACGCCCTGCTACTTCCTAGAGAGGCAAACAACCGGGAAATGTTGAAAAGCGTTACCGTTATTTGTAAAGAGGCCGAACCCGCGGTGCATCAGAAACATATATTTGATGATCTCTTAACGAATTTTCCAGCTCCAATGGAACCAATTTATTCTTTGGTTGTTGGTGTTGTTCAAGCGGAAGCGACTAGTAAGGCAGCTGCAATTATATGTTTGACTTCGTCTGGTAGGACGGCCAAGCTTATTTCTAGGTAAACTTTTATACTATAAAATCGAACTCTCTTATGTCTATAAAAGGGCTAAACAAAAAATACATTAAGAAATGAATGTGACGTATTTAAAGTGTGTAGGTAGTTTTATTAATATTAATAAAACTCAGTAAAAGTAGTCTTAGCGCTTTCAGCCGGTTAGGCCATCATCAGAGACTCTACAAAGATAAAAAAACGGAGCTATAACAATAGTCAAATCGAGATATTCCTAAACATTGAATAAAAAATAAAAAAAAAAAAAAACATTACAACTTACTTGTCAGTAAATATAGAAGGTACATGAAAATTAATTATTTAAAATTTTATTTATTAGATTCAAAGGGCTGCCACAATACGGTCCCTGGTTCTCAACCATAACTTGAGGCTTGAAACGAAGCAAAACCAATCCTAACAGGTGGTTGAAAATTGAAAAGAAACGTGGGGGCTCATCCCAACACGTGTAAATAAACTGTCTCAACCTTTCCAAGGAAGAGAGATGGTAAAAACTGAACTTCGGCTTGAAGCCAGCTGCCCTTTCAAAATAGCTAACGTGAGGCGGAGGCAAGTTGGGGCACAGGTAATCGTAAGAAGTAGAATGCAATAAAGACGAAAAAGTAACCATCTTGACTTTAACAGTGCCAAAAAAAGGAACTGAGTGACAATTGACAGTTGACAATGAAGTTGTCAAAACAATTGCCAACTTGAGAAATACAAATAAATTTCATGAAAATTGATCAAAGTTAATATTTAAAAAGATAAAAGTGGGTTGGAACCACTGAAGTAGCAAGCACAAGTTATGGAGGGAATTTTAAATTTTAAATTATTTTTAAAAAACAACCAAACGTTACAATAAATAAGTAGAATTATAAAATATACATTGAGTGAAGGTAAAAAACATTTTGATATAAAATTATTGAAATTAGGAAGGTGCCTGACTAGAACAACAGAATTGAGCCTGCCGACCCCAGGGAAACCGAAGTCGCAGGCAGACCAACTTTTCCAACTAAAAGAGGAGGAAAAACCGTCCTGACCACGAAATCAGATATCACCGGAGAAGACAAGATCAACTCTGCTGTAAGAAGATTAAAGGAGAAGCTAGCTAGGTAACTTCAGACCAACCGTTGCCTATACTCTTAAAGAGAGGAGGCACTTTGCTATTGAGATGGATTTGCGTGTTAACACAGGTGACATTAGTTTTATTAAACTCTCGGTGTATCTCAAGATCTTCGAGCAGATTTAATTTAAAGTTACAATTGAAAATATTATGAAGGACAGTGACATTCTCAGAAGGAGTGAAATTGTGATTATTGAATTTAATATGATGTCCAAAAGTGGACTTATCAGGATATCTAATGTGTTCACCAGCTCTTAAATTGAGTCTTCTCTCGGTTTTCCCTATATAAGTAGTATTGCAATCGTTACAGTTTAATCTATAGATGCCACTTTTGAGTAGCAACTCGATTTCATCCTTAGTGTGTGATAGTTGGCTTTTAATTGAATTAACATTTTTAAAAGATATTTTAATATTGTTGCAATCTTTAAAAACTGCAGCGATATCATTGGAAATTTTCCCGAGATAAGGTAGTGAGAAGTATTTAAAATTAGCAGGAGAATCATTAGTAGGATTAAAAGCAAGCAGAGACCTTTTCTTAAGTTTGACCTTATTAATAACCATGTCAATAATAGAAGGATAGTAGTTGTTATTAAAGGCTAGTTGTTTTAAAACGTTGATTTCTTTATTAAAATTATGATTAGATAAAGGTATATTGAGGAGACGGTGAACATAACAGTATATGGCTGATAACTTGTGTTGATAAGAGTGATTAGAGTGAAAATTAATTAGATGATCAGTTTGAGTGGGTTTCCTGTAGATATCAAATTCGAGCTTATTATCCATACGACTAATAGAAAGGTCTAGGAAATTAAGTGATTTGTTGACTTCAAGCTCGACTGTGAATTTAATTTTAGGATGGATATTGTTGATGAAAATTAAGAAGTCATCAATCTCAGAGACGTTACAATTCATAATAGCAAAAATGTCATCATATTATGAATTGTACCTTTGTACCTTGCTAAGCCTCGTTATTGCTTTCCTTTGCTGTGTCTTTGGCCACCACACCAAAGCTGCGTATGTTATTATGGGTCTCACCACCATGTTATAAATCCAATATACCATGTCTGGTTTTAACCCCCATTTTTTTTCCAAAATATCGCCTTGCCATCATTAATGAGATTTCCGCTCTCCTTGTGGTCCTTTCTAGATGCTGGTTCTAGGTAAGTCTCGAGTCAATCATAACCCCAAGATATTTTGCCTCCCCCTTAAGCTGGATGCTTGCACCTCTTAGGTTTAGAGGCCCTAGTCCCTCCAATTTCCTCCTGCGGGTGAATGCAATTATATCAGATTTGTTTGGGCTAATGTTTAGTCCTTCCGCCTCTGTCCATTTTGTTACTATATTTAGAGCCTCTTGCATTCGATCTCTTACTATAGTGTTGGATTTTCCCTGTGTTATGATCACTAGATCATCGGCATATCCCAGGGTTCTATGTCCATTATCTTTGAGAGCCCTAAGCAGCCCGTCCACTACAAGGTTCCACAGGAGTGGAGACAGCACTCCACCCTGTGGACATCCTCTCGCTACCAGTGCCGCTGTTGTCTCTCCCATAAGGGTTGTGTGTATAGTTCTCTCCCTTAACATAGAGTCGATCCAGGACACGCATGTGTCCTCGATTCCTCTGTGTTTGAGAGATCTAATGATCGATTCAACGGAGGTATTGTCGAATGCACCCTCGATATCCAAGAATGCTCCCAGCATTACCTCCTTGTTTTCCAGTGTGTTCTCCACCCTTTTTATTAGTTGATGGAGAGCTGTTTCAGTTGATTTCCCTGCACTATAGGCGTATTGGTCTTGGTATATTGGCCTTTGAACCAATATTCCGTCTCTAATATGCCTATCTAGCAGTTTTTCCAAAGTCTTAAGTACGAAGGACATAAGACTTATTGGTCTTAGGGATTTTGCCGTTAAGTTAGATGAGACTTTTTCCTGTCCAATAAAGCTAAAGAATCTAGTACTTTTCAAATCGGAGCAGGTGCATAGTACGTGTTTTGCAGATTATGCTTATAAGCTGTAGATTTGGAAGTCCTATGTTTTTTGCAGATCTAACCTTCTCATGTACGATATACGATTGTGTCCTAAATCGTTTGTACTCCATTTCCATAACTGAGCAGTATTCTTAATAGAAGGATGGGTAAAAATGCTTTAGAATTATATCTATCCATTACTAATTATCTCTTATTATTACCTCTAGAAGCCAGATATAGATGAACGGAGGAAAGATAATATTCCCAGTGAATGATGGTTTAAATATTGGAAAAGAGGTAGGAGTGAAAGTATTTGGCAAAATGCCAATCAATAAACCTAAACACCTTTGCTAGATTTTTCGAAGTAGAAATTATCGCTATAGAATTGGAAGCGAGATATTTTGCTCTATTAAGATCTTTTCGATTAGACAGGCAGCTCCAACCGAACTGACCGAAAGTTAGTTTGGAACTGTATAAATACCCTCGAGTGCCTCGAATGTTTAAATAAAGTTACTTAAGTCTGGATTCCGGGATAAAGCTGTGTAGAGGACAAAGAGCACTACCAAAGGAATTATCTCAAACTAGAAGATGAAACAATCATATTATGAATAGATATGTTTCTAAAGCATTTTTACTCATCCTTCAATAAAGATATCTGCTGAGTTCCGGAAATGAAGTATACAAAATTTAGGACACAATCGTATAACGTATATGAGAAGGAAAAGGATTACAAAAAACATAGGACTTTCGATTCTTTAGTGTGTAAACAAAATCTGCAGAGCACATACTATGCACCTGCTTCGAATTAAAAAATACTAGAATATAGATATTTGACTTTATTGGACTAGAAAAAAGTATCATCTAACTCAACCTTCAACAAAAAGTGTGGTTGTAAGGAGCACTATAACTTGGGCAAGAGCCACAATAGATCCTTATAGATGGCAGTGGAAAGCGATGTGATCGTCTCATTCATTTTCAACCTAATTTATTACAGAAAGCCCTAGTAAATACAATTCACCAACCTTTCCTTCGTAACCAAAACAGAAATGACATACTGATAGAGATAATTAGACGCTCTTCACCAAAAAGGACTTGCAGAAGAGTTTGTTGTGAAATATGTTAGAAAGAAAAATATATTGTAATACATAAACTGTAATACTCATAAGGTATATCAAATTGATCATAAAAGGATATAAAAATTTTTAATTAGATCTAATAGACAAGTTATCTAATAGAAAGGAAAATTGGCCCTACGTATTTGTAGGCTCTACAGGGCAAGTTTAACGCATAAACATCTATTAAATACATGGAAACAGAGCAGATCGGTTTTTGTATCAACATATCCTGTAAAAGCGTTTAGACCAATAACTATGACGTCATTTTTATTGAAATAATTGTAAAAACTGATTTCTTAGCATGTCCGATAAATTAATCTTATAGAGAGGCCATTTCATACAAATCAACATGCCTATCAATCAGGAAAATCATCTTGTGAGTCTGCTCTAGCATCATCTTGTAACCAAGATAAAGGGGGGATTCAGTAGCCATGAAATAGTCCTAGGAGCATAATACCTCCTTTAAATCAATGTAACTGCCAAAAGCACTGAACAATCAAGGGCTGTACGCCCAAGGATACTCCGATGACATGGTCATGGTTATTCGAGGAAAACACCAAACCACAGTCTTCGAATTGCAAAAAGCTGTAAGGCTGACAGAAATGTAGTGCGTTAGGGATAACCTTTACTCGGAAAAAAAGTTGGAGATCTTAGAAACTCCGATGCTATTTGGAAGAAGGCTAAAAAGAACGAACCAAGTAAAATATATGGGTCTAATTCTAAATAGCATTTACTTGGAACCAAACCTACAAAAAGTTACTAACAAATAAAAAATATTTCTCATTGTAGAAAGACGAGAATTTGGGAAAATATGGGAACTAAAACCGAAAATAGTCCACTGTTTATATTTGGCAATCACAAGACCCATGATAACTTATGGAGGGCTTTTTTGATGGCCAAAAGTAAACCAGAAAAGAGCCCTCAATACCTTCTCAGGAGTGCAGAGACTGGCAAGCATTTGTACACTAAGAAGTACACCGATAGCCTCCATGGAAATCATTCTAAACCTTCCACCCTTTTCCTAGTCATAAAAGGGAAGGACAGAATGGGACATACAAAACATACCAAAATATTACATGAGGTAAATGATCCTATATTAAACATGGGATCAGATCATATGACACCTCGCCTAACCTTCAACAGACTCTTCCGGTTAAACTGCAACTGGAACGAGGTAAATGAGGTGGTAGGAAAATACTTTCTTAGCGGTTTTGTATAGTATACGGATGGATCTAAAACTAACAAGGGAACATGCTCGAACATGCTCTGGCGTACATGAAGTTTAACCCAAATTGCGACATCTCATCTCACTGTGAAAATATACCACTGTATTTTATAATCATAATCAAATTGTGCGTAAGAGAGACTTTTTAGAAGTAAATGCAAAAACAAATGTTAATTCTCTCAGATATTCAAGCAGCCGTAAAGAACCCTGATTCAAACAGAATCACGTTAAAGCTGGTCTGGAACTCCCTTGGAATATTAAATGATCTGACAACCCACACTAAGGAAAACCAGCGTAGATGACAGGACCCAATAATAACCAAGGAAATGAGAAGTCTGATGAACTCACCAAATAGGGACCATTCACAGAACCAGAACCTGTATTTGGAAAGAACAAAACCTCTGCTCGACAGGCAGTGAACAGGTCACATACTTTGATTTTCGTTTACTATACGGAGAATAGTCGCACTGCGCAGCTTTCTGAGTGCCTTTTAAAAGGAGATAGAAAACTCCGCTATTTTGAACCCTTATTACGTGTTGCCTACATCTTGGCGCAATATTTTTAATAGGTGCGTTTTAATCATCCGCTTCTGCTTCGGAATTGTCGGTTTTCTTGTTTTAATCTGACAGGTTAGAACGACTGAACCGACAATTCCGGAAGCAGAAGCGGATGATTAAAACGCATCTGCTATTTTGCTTGCTGTTGTTAGTGTCAGTGAATATTATTTTTGGAGTCACAGTTTATTGCTAAAGAATCAGTCCACTCGGACCAGTTGAAAGTTCCAAAATAACATCCACTCCAGGGATACAAATTCAGGATACGCAGAAGACTGCTGTTTTATTATAGGCGGTTGTCATATATTGTATTATCTGAGTTGCGCAGTGTATAAACTGGAACATTGAGATAAAAAGTGCCGATGCAGAGTGAGCGATCTGATTCTTTAGCTATAAACTGTGTCATAGGGTTCAAAATGGCCGCGCCCTATGTTGGGCGTGTCGGACCTCTCTCTTGCCCCGTATTGTAATCAAAGTATGTGGAACAGGTGGATAACCACAAAACATCAAATTCACTGGCAACAGATAAAAGCTTATGCTAGGGGGACCAAACCACTGATCTGTATTATTTTACTGGATAGGATATAGCCCTCTAAAACACGTTCCAAAAAATTGGCCGATTTGGGCAAATAATATGGCGGACCAGATGTTATTTAACATAACCTCTATTTCCATTTGTCATCACATTTGTCATTTAATTGTGTCAAAAAGTTACGATGAGATGTTGTTTTATTTATTTAGGTATTATCGAATAGTATTACTATATTCGTGAAGACACAATATGCTTCACGTTTCCATTTTTATATTTTCTTTCATAAAAAAATCAAATTATGGGTGAATTGTCCCCAAGGACTTTGCCCGCAAAAGGAATAGAAGAAGAATAAGAAGAAAAACTAATCAAATTATAGGTTAGGTATGTCAAATTATCCCAAAATTCAGTTATGTGATCCCACCATAATTTGCCCAAATCGGCCAGCAGTGTTGCACTTCCGGTCTCCTTGGTGGAACAGATTTTAAGTATGTTAAATATAGCCTATATCCTATCCAGTAAAATAATATAGATCAGTGGACCAAACCCATGCATGGCTACTGAGAGTCTACAACTCACAAGGCCTCAAATATCCACCGTTGTTGGATTACTAACGGGACATCGCATACTGAAACACCTTTTTGTGATGGAATTACACAATGTTCCCAGCACGCGTAGACCCTGCATGGAAGAGGAATAAACCCCATAACATGTAATCTTCGAATGCGAAGCTCTTGCTTCGCGGATTCTCACCCCTTTCGGCTTAGAACCGGAAAAAACGCCCCAGAAACACTTGATAGGGTACTTAGTAAAACTAACCAGAAGGCACAGAACTGTTCCAAAGATAGTACCAAAGACAATTTTTAGATAATGTTTTTAACTAGTTAAAAATAAGTTTGATTTAATTTTTTGTGTTGACTCGTTGGTTAAAAGGTAGTACCAAAGACAATTTTTGGATAATGCTTTTAACTAGTTAAAAATAAGTTTGATTTAATTTTTTGTTTTGGCTCGTTGGTTAAAAGGTTTTTGCTACAAAAATGTTAGTTGCGGTGTAGAATAAAGTTGACTTTTTAGGATATAGAATAAATATTACCGGGAATTTGCTTATTTTTTAAGAAAAAAAAGCTTTAGTATTAGAATGGTCAAATAATCTCAAATATTTGTAATTTGTCAGATACGGGGGTTTGGCTTATGACGGCAGAATACTCTTTATACATTAAGCCACTATCATAACCTTATTTAGCCTTTTTATCTTCTGAACCACAATCTAAACTAGATAGGACTAGTTGTTTATTTCTTAAAATTAATTTGTTTATAAAAATAATATTTTTTAAATTTCTAGATTCAAACCGAGATGTCCAATCATAGTAATCACCAGATATCCTAGGGTAGCTAGGATGCTCTCAATCTATAGAGGTGTAGAAGCTTTACTCTATGTCAAACCTTTCTGTGGTCATTGGCACACTGACGTAGATAACAGAATTCAATTGGGGGTAACATACGGAAAGTATATAGGATATATCAGAAGCGGAGACATAGTTATTACAATCATGCCTTCGAGGCCTGAATGTGGTTTGCCTAATACCATGAGGATTCTTTATGCATCTGAGTTCGATACTTTACCTGTTAATCAATCTGGAGAAAAGAAAATGAGCATTCCATTGTGTATCAGCAGATTGAAAAATAGATAGGAGTTAAGAAAATATATAAAGAATGGTTCAATTAATATATTGAATATACACTTCAATATACTATACAGTGCTTTTCAGATAAAAGTATCTACCTTACGTAACTTTTGAAGAATCGATTATTACAAAATACAAAAAAAATACGTTAATTAATATTCGAACATGGTGTTTAACGTAATTAGTTTATGATCTAAAGAATTTTAAATTAAAATAAAATTAAATTATGGAAAACTTTTATTTTAATTATTTTATTACAAGCGTTTCTAATGATAAAACGAATATTTCATTTTTAAAAGGTAACATAAAAATTGTCTGAAATAACCACCATTTACTTCTCTACAATGATATAATCTAGTTTGAAGAGCCTCTCTGACATTACCAAACAATATTGCATTTAAATTTCGGAATTCATCCTCTATTCTTTTTCGTAAATCTTCTAAAGGTTCTGGTTGAGTAGCATACATTTTTGTTTGCTAATCACCCCATAAAAAAGTCTAGGGGTGTTAAATCCGGTGATTTAAGTGGCCAGTTTATCATCGAGCCTCTTCTACTTATCTATCCAACGAGCGGGGAAAGTTTTATTTAAAAATTGTAGTACAGACAAAGCAAAGTGTGGAGATGCTCCATCCTGTTGAAATATAAGCAAATATTCAGAAAGGTTATGATAATTTTATATTATTGAATACGTGGATCAATTACTTCTCTCAGTAACTCAAGATACGATTCACCATTTAACTTTTCGTCCAAAAAGAAAGCTTCGACTATGTGGTCACCTAGGATACCACACCATACATATAACTTTTGAGGTTTCTGTGTGTAGTATTCACGCACAGCATGTAGATCACTCTCAGTTCAATATCTGCAATTATGTTTTTAATTAAACCATTCACTAAAAATGTGCATTCTTTTGAAAAACAGAGGTTGTGCAACAAATGTGGATTGTCAGTCAAGCGCTGACTCAATAATTCACAAAATTCAAGAAGACGATCAAAATCATCTTCGTACAACTCTTAAACCAATTTAATTTTATATGGATGGTACTTGTGCTTGTATAATATTCGAAAAACTGTGGAAGAGGAAATACCTACTTCTCTGCTTATTGTTGACAGTGGCTGTGGTTGTTGATTTTCAAGACTCAACTTGTCCTAAAACGGTAACTTTGATTGCTTTGTTATTGACGAGTATCAGTCGTTTTTTTTATTCCCAAATGACCCGCTTGATGTAAATTTACGCATAAGATCAATTATTACATACTTATGCGTTACGTGACCTCTTTGGTATGTTTCATTGAAAATTGTAGCAGCAGCTTGTGCAGAACTGTTATTTTTGTAGTATAAAATAAACCTGACAAGCTCAATTATTTCTTGAAATCAAATAAATAACCCCAACAAATAAATGTGCACATGTATCAAAATTCACTCTAAAAGTGATTTAAATTCATTTTTCAAATATCCAAAACCTTTACCAGCTATCGTAAAAAAACAAGGTAAGTCGGTAAAGTGAGATGTAAAAATGTGTCACTGACATAAAGAGACACTGTGGATCATAAACTTATTACTTTAAACCCCATGTTTTTTATACATTTTTGAAATCAGTTTAACGAGAGGAATCCAAAAATGGATAAAAAATAGGGAAAGCCATTTAAAAAAATTGAAGGGCTGATAGCAGGGGTGAAAGGGTGAGTTTTTAGGCAAACCCAAATATGGCATGACCTTTAAATTATTGACATGGATATAGATGTAGTTTTTGTTTTTTGGATTAATTAGTCTTTCAAAAGTTAATTAAGGTGGACACTTTTATCTGAAACATTAATCTATAATTTTAGAAAGTACACCATTATTATGTCCTTCTATATCTAGTAACCAAACGCGATGTCATGGTGATGTTTGAATACATTTCAGATAATTTGTAAGAATTATATTTTGTACATCCATAGAATAGGCAATCCTTTTGTTTGATTTTTATTGCCTTTTTGTATTTATATTTTATTGATTTTTGATTATGTAAATCAATGACGTTGTATTAACAATTATAATATTGTTTTCAAGTAAATAAATACATAAATTTGAATATATGTTTTGAACCAATATTATTAATTTCAGTGATTTAAGGACTTTAAATGTGTTCCTAAAGTAAGTTGAATATATTTTGTAAGACAATAAATATAAATAGAGGTTAGGTGTCAATTTACGTTTTATTTGCAAACCACATTGTATAAGTAATAATAATTTATAGTCTAGAGAAGAAAGGAGTGCAGTAATTTAATTTGCAGAACGTAGTAAAGGTTCAAGAGATAGATATTTTATTTCTACCTCATCTTTCACTGTAGTTAAAATTAAAATTTTCATACATCTGATCGGTCTAAAAAAAGTTTTTGTTTAGATTTAATCATGTTTCTATGATTTTTACTGTAATAAACCTTTTATTTTGACAGATAAGTCAGACTTTATTTATTTATAGCCGTGTCGTATTTATTTTAATTAATTCGGAGTTTTGTATTATAATATTAGTTCTTGCGGACATTAATTTTTTTATTGAAAACCACAGCCCTCTTATAGAACACAAATCTAAAAATCCTAAAAAATCCGATGTGAGTAAAGTCACCATTTAAAAAACATGGCCGCTCGCAATATTTTTAAAAATGTATTAGTCCAATTTATAAAATGACATGTGGTTATTTGCCAAATCAATGCTCGTCCGATTAAATGCATCAAAACATTTGCTCTCGTTTTCTTTTAAATGTTTATTTTCATTTTACATTACAAAAATCGGAAGAAAAGAAACAAAATAACATATATTTATGTCAGTTTTGTTTTTAAAAATTAGGATACATCGAAGTAAATAGAGAGAAAACATGTTAAATTTCCATAAAACGTCTTTTATGAGTTTTTCTTTTATAAGTTTCAAGGGGACAATCTCGTTTTAAAGACCAGTAGTAATCTGCCCTCATGTGACAATCCCATGGACCCTGATACCTTTCCTCCATCACTTTTAGATCCTGGTGGAACCGCTCTCCCTGTTCCTTACTATAATTTCCTAAAATATCCGGAAATTTATCCAGATGATTGCGGAGATAGTGTAATTTCATACTCATATTTGCTCCTAGAGTCTGAAAGTTTGTCAGCATATTTTGTATAATTTCTTTATAATTTGGTGTTTTATAATTACCGTCAAACGAGATGAAATGGATCAAAAATATCGGGGTTTTCAATATTCTGCCTTTATCATTTGATTTTTCTTAACGAAAAAAATCTGATGTGTCCAACACATGACTTTCCTATCTAGTTATTATAGGCTTTTTCCGGTTATTTTTTATAACCTATTGTAGCACCTCTATAAATGTTTAGAGGATAAACTAAATATATACATTTTCCACATACATCTAACTCAAAACATTTTTCTATAGATATTCATTGAAAACGAAAATACTGCAAAATTTAAATTTAGCACTTTTCCTCCAGTTTTTTCATTACGGTCCATTTTAGAAAACTCATGTAAAAACAAAAATTAAAGAGATCGATATCGCAAACAACTTTTAGTTTAACAATTTTCTCAAAAATCAGAATTTTGCACGTTTTCTCACATTTCTCGAATACGGACCATTTCAGGAAAATTTTACATAAAAAAATTATAGATAATAATATTAAAAGTAATTTTTATTTAAACAATTTTCTTCTCCAAACATAAATAACATATATTCCATAAAATATGAA